GATGGTAATGTCCATATTGGCCATATTAGGTATCATGCTATACAGTCAAGTAATGTCAGGATGTATCCATAGCAATTGCAGTTTTGCTGACAGGTTTTTCTTCACATGATGTTGTAGGTGGATTAGATGTGACATCTTGGTTTGTCTTGTCTTCTATTAATCAGATAAACAAATATCTTGAAAAATGCGAACTAAGATAAAAAATGCTTGGAAGCATCAAGGCATCATATACACACATCCAGCCCTTATACAAGTCATTTACCAATTCATTACTGGTTATACAAGTTATTTACGAATTCATTTTACTGGTTATTCAAATCAGTGGCTTTGAGTGTGCCTCATTGTATTCAGCTGCAGCTGGTCTTATTTTGTATGACAAAAACTCTCAGTTTAACTTGTTGAACTTCACTTATAACATTCTTCACAATAATGATTGGTGTAATATACTGATAAAATGTCCTGTTTCCTGTAGAACAACATTCTTCACAATAATGATTGGTGTAATATACTGATAAAATGTCCTGTTTCCTGTAGAACAAGATCTCTATCTAGTAGACTGCCAAAACATCTTAACCTTATCAACATCTTTGAGAACAAAGACAAACAAAAATATCAGCCACACTCCTTTGTACACATAACCAGTCAGATGACTTTCAGAACTCTCAATGACCATAACAACTCCTATTGTTAATCATAGGAAAATCAATAATAATTAGCTTTTTTAATCATCTCTTAAGATGCAGCCCTTCAGTTGWTATGATTTGATGTTACATCAAAATTTCAAAATGTGAGGTATGGTTAGAAAAAACAACTTCAAGTCKGCATCTTAGATAATATCCATAAACACCTTACCATCAATCATTTTTTGCAATTCATGAATTGTATTGATAAGAAGATAAAACTGCTTCTTCCGTAATTCAAGCTGAGGGTAAATAATATTAAATATAATTTCAAAACAGGTACAAGCATAAAAAAAATAACAAATCACTTTTTATCATCCTCAGGCACATCATTCAATCTTAAACAAGCTCTAGTGCATAAGACATGTAAAAACATTAAAACTTGTACATTCAAATGAAGTAGACTGAGTGCAAATTAGCTTAGTTGAGTTACAAGTAAATGTGAAAATA